GACGACGAGGACGACGCGAGCAAAATGTAGGTGGCGATATGCCCCACTGCGCCTTTGTACACATCGCTCGCGTGCACCACAACGCGCGCGAACACCACAACACCTACGTACACCGCAAGAACCGTGTGCAACGCAGCGCCTGTGCACACCACAGTGCTTGCGTACACGACCGCGCCGGTGTACATGTGTACATCGCAGCAACCATGTGCAACAGAGCGCCTGTGTACACCACAATGCTTGCGTGCACCGCAGCGCCTGTGCACGCCACAGCGCCTGTCTACACCACAGCATCCGTATGCAACGCAGGGCGACTGTACACCAGTGCCTGCGTGCAGGATAGTGCTGATAATCGAATGCGACGTTCTTCCCTCTTCCCTCCTCCTCCACCTCCACCTCCACCTCCACCTCCTCCTCCTCCTCTTCCTCCTCCTCCTCCTCATCCTCTTCCTCCTCCTTACCGCCTGTCGTGCGGGGTGGCGCTACAGCGCACGTGCGCAATTCAGCGCGCTGTGCACCGCATAATGGTCTATTGAATCGGTCCACTTGGTTCTCGCACTGCCCATTTCGCTGGAGCCTCTTGGACGCAGATGGGAGAAGTTAGGGTGATGCCGGCGGACTCGGGGAAACTCGTAGATTCCAGCGGCGCTCCTTTGTCCATAAGGATTCCTTTGTTTTTTGTGGAATCCACAGGCGCTCCATTTTGTCATACGGATTCCTTCTAATATTCGATGTGCAAGTGTGGCGTTGTGTTGCACACGGTTGCTGTGGTGCACACAGGCACCGTGGTGTACACAGGCACTGCAACGCACGCAGGCATTATGGTGTACAGTGGTGCTGTGTTGCACACGGCTGATGTGGTGTACGCAGGCGCTGCGGTGTACACAACAGCTGTTGTGCCCGCGAGCACGGTGGCACAAACTGACGCTGTGTTGCACGCGGCTGCCGTGGTGTACATAGGCGGTGCGGTGTACACAGGCGCTGTGGTGCACGCAGGCACGGTGGTGTACACAGGCGTTGCTACCCGTCCTCTGTCATCCCAGTAGCATTCCCAGACACCGCTGGCGCGAAACATGATGTCATCGACCCCGTCCACACCCCCTCAGATGATTGCCGCGATCGGCCCGGAACAAATAACAGGCTCCAGCCGCGTCCGTGCGCACGACGACGATGAGCGAAGAGACACGAGTGACGACGACGACGACGACGACGACGACGACGACGACGACGACGACGAGAAGGCCTCCCGTAAGACGCTCCAGGAGGCCGCCCCCTCGGCCTCTAAGAGCCCCCAGAAAGCTTCTGCAGCAGACGCGCAGGCATCAAAGATTTGGCCGGGACCAAAGGATTGCTTTTTGCCGGGACCAAAAAAATCTTTGGTAGGGCGCATCGGCAACAACGGGGAGGCACAACGGGGGAAGCGGCAACCAGCACAGAAACGACGCAGGAAGCCTCACGTTGTCCTCACTGGGGGGGGCGGCGGGGCGGCGCACGCCCCCTGGATAGCACGTGGCGTTCTCCTCGTAGAAGCCGCCTCCGTCGTGGTCTCTGAACACCCCCGGACTGCTGAGCTGGATCGGCTGGACAAGACTGCCGCAGTGGTTGGAGGAGTTGGGACTCTCCAGACTGTAGTAGCTCAAGCCTGCCAGGTCGTCCACTGTGAGATTCGGGAACCTGTCGTCGGGTGTTCCGACTACGCCAATGTATCTCGAGTCTAAGGTGGACTGGTAATACGCGTAGGATGGTAAATACGGAAGGTCTTTCAGCTTGTAGCCAAATTCTGCAGTAGCCCACGTGGACCAAGCCGACCCAGCCATGGTGTCTCGAGTGCAGGCGCCGTCGTTGTTGGGGTGGGTGCCGATAGCTTCCTTGGCACAGGCACCTTCTACCTTCTCCCCCATATAAGCGTTGCTCTGCTGCGTCTCGTAGTCCAGCCAGACATCGTAGTAGAGCGCGTCGCGAACCGTCTGGCGATCACTGGAGTCGCAGTCAAACGCCTCGGTAGCAAATGAGATACCACAAACTTTGGTGTTGTCGTTTGAGAACCAGCCCTTGTCTTCAACAAGCTTCGTATCCGCTAGAGAGACCACCTTCACTGAACGGTAAACTGTGTTAGCATATTCCGCCGCAAACGCATCACTTACCACCAGGTTGTTCCAAGTCTCCTTCCCCCAGCGCTTCGACATGCCCGCGGTGAAAAGGTCGTAGCCCGTTTGGTTTACGCCCTCTGCTGCACAGGCGGTCCCGGCATCTGGCGTCGAGCACCAAGCATTGTTTTGCAGGTGCCGCATGTTGGGTCCCCACATGTATCCAGCGTCGATCGTGCCCTTGTCCCAGGCAGCTTTCTGGTCGGCGGCAGTCATGTGCCCCACCCATTCCAGGTCAGAAACAGAGAGCGCCGTCTGCTCTAAAAAACCCTCCAACATGTAGTGGGTCGTCGAGCCTTGAATGTATGCGAGCCGCTTGCCCTTCAAATCCATGGGTGTGTTGATACCTTGCCTCGTGACCAGGTTCTGGCTCTTATCCTCGGCCATGAACCAAAATGGGGGCCCCGAGGGAAACGAGTCCTGGAACCTGGGCCTTTCCCCGGACGCAGCTTCTTGTCCTGAGCCCTGTCTCCACGGTCCAGGGACGGGGAGTGCTCCAGGAGACCGAGAACGACTAGAACACTCTGGACCCCTCTATCTCATCGGGTGCGGCCAAGAGGGGGGCGTCCAAGAGGGGGGGGGGGGCGCAAACCATGGCCGGCGGCATGTGCGCGGCCCAGGGGGGGGCGGGGCCCGGGACGTAATGAAAAAAGCAGGGGCGCCATGAAATCTGAGGAAAAATCATGCACACTCATGATATCCCCCCCCCCCCTAGTCATCACCCCCCACTTGGCCGCCTCCGATCTCAGGACCGTCGTTTCTTAAGCTGGGCCTGTCCCCCTACAGGGGGATTTTGGACGAACCAAGAAAATAGTCCAAAAATGCCCTCCAGTATTCAATAATGGTCACAAGATCGTCCCCAGACTATTCCTTTTACTATTTTTGAATGTTCCCTTGTAGACGGGCAGGCCCGACGTGACTCTACCTCAGGACCGTCGTTTCTTCACGGCGGGTCCTTGGAGTGAATCACGTACACCATCTTCGCCGGGATCCCGCGCGTCGCTCCGGCGCCCCAGGGCGCGTTGCCGAGGTGCGCCATGTCGAGCTCGCCGTTCTGGAGCTTCTCGATCACCTTGCCGCCCGACGTCTGGGGTTAAGTCGGGCCAGTCCCCCTACAGGGGGATTTTCGGCGAAAAATAAAAGATACCCCAAAAAAGGTAAAAAAAAAAAAAAAAAAAAAAAAAAAAAAAAAAAAAAAAAAAAAAAAAAAAAAAAAAAAAAAAAAAAAAAAAAAAAAAAAATACTCAAAAAATAGTCCCCTGAGTATTGTTGGACTATTTTTTTTTTATTGTTGGGGTATTTTTTATTTTCGTCGAAAATCCCCCTGTAGGGGGACAGGCCCGACTTAAGCCTGGGGCCAGAAGGTGTACCTGTACGTGGTGTTCGTCTCCACGTCGTGCCAGGAGTGGGCGTCGATGGCGTAGGTCCACAGGTGGCCTGCGGACTCCCTGAAGTAGCCGTAGTTCACGTGCACCACGTCGCTCACGCTGCGGGGAACCCCGACGAGCAGCACAGTCCCTGCGAGGAAGAGTCCGACTGGTGGGTTAGTCATTCCCACTGCACCCTTCTGCGCCAAGACGAGACGACGATCGAAGAGTGCCGCCGGTGCACCTAGGCTCGCGGCCTAGCAAGCCTTGCATCGCACGCCAGAGGCGTCCGCGCTTGACTTGAACCACGCGTCAGCAGGAGGGTGGGGGGCAGAGAGAAAGGTAAATGCATGGGGACACCAAAAGGTGCCGATACCGCTACTCCTCGGCCCGGGTGCGCTCTGACCAGGATTTCGAGGCGAATCCAGCGGTGGCGGCGAGTGCCTCCCAGGAGGCCGAAAGAGGGGAAAACGGACCAAGGGTAGCGGTATGGGTACCTTTTCCTCCTCTGGTAAATACTGCTCAAAGGGAGAGAGTCCATCGGAGCAGGTCCCGCATGTTCCATTGGTGCCCCTGGTCTTAGGTCGGGCATGTCTCCCTACAGGCGGATTTTGGACGAAAAATTAAAATACTCAAAAAATGTTTCAAACATGCGCAACAATACGAAAATCGTCCCCATATGATTGTTGTACTATTTTTGAATATTCCTCCTGTAGAAGGACAGGCCCGATTTAACCCTGGTCGGCACCACCTGCACGAAAAAAAAGAACACACTTGCCAAAGCCTGGGGCACCCTCAGCGCCCAGGACCCTCAAAAAGCGGACTTGGCAGCCGACTGGTGTGCACAGCCCGTCGTGGCTCCGCCCGCGACCGCGGGCGCGACGCTGACCGCGCACCCTTCCTCACAGACTGTGCATTTTCTTAGGGTGGAGGGCTCAGGGTGAAATCCTCATGGGCTTTTGCGCCTCGAAAATATAAATCCGTCTTGTGACTCACCTTCTGCTGAGTCGAACCTCGAAGATCAATCGAAACGGCATTTCAGATTTCACACTTTGTCCTTCCCTCCCCTTCCTCCTTCGTCTCCTTCTTCTCGTCCTCCTCGGCATCCTCCTTCTCTTCTTTCTCCGCCTCGTCCTCCTCCTTCTCCACTCCCTTTTCCTCCTTCTCTCCCTTCTCCTCTCTCCCGCCTTTTGCTCTGGCTCCTCCTCCTCCCCCTCCTCCTGCTCCTCCTCCTCCTCCTCCTCCCCCTCCTCCCCCTCCTCCTGCGCCCTCCACCCGAAGAACATGCGCGGACAGAGGCCTGCCGCCGCTTCACGCCGCGCTGCGGCTCCCGCCAGCATGCCGCCCGACCCGGCCCGCTGCACCTGCTCTTCTCCCTCCGCCCACACTGAAGGGGCCCCAGGACACACAAATAAATACACACAAATAAACATATGTTCCCATATTTTCCCATATTTTCTGGGGAATCGAGGATTAATTGTGTCTGTGT